CACACCTGTGCAGCTTTTCACGTGCTTTGGGGGTCACGCCCATGAATTTGGGGTCACGCCCATGAATTTGGGGTCACGCCCATGAATTTGGGGTCACACCCATGGTTTTGGGGTCCCACCCATGAACCTGTGGCACGTGCTCTGCCATGGCCTGTGCGTGTTCCCACGTTTGTGGCGCGTGTGTGGCCAGCCGGGGCAGGGTGGTGTGGCCGTGCTGGGGTGTCCCTGGCAGTGAGTGCCACCCCTGTGCCCCAGTTCCTGGCCATGCTGTCCCAGTGGTGCACCCAGATGCATTCCCTCACCCTCCAAAACCTGAAGCCGCGCCAGCGGGGCAAGAAGGAGAGCAAGGAGGATTACATGAAGAGCACACGGTGAGTCGCCGTGTCCCTCTGTCCCCGTGTCCCCCCTCCCGGAGCCGGAGCTGCAGCTCCTCAGGGAGCCCCAAAATCCCTTTCCTTGCTGCACCCCAGCGCACGGCGGCTCCTGCCGCGGGATTCGGGTGTCCCGGAGCCGCGGACGCCCGCGGGACGTGTCACCCTCCCGGGGAGGTCACGGGGAGGGTGAGCAGGGGCTCCTGAGCCTGATCCTGGCTCTGTCCTGGCAGGGGATGTCTGGAAGCGGGGCTGGAGTCGCTGCTGAAGGCGACGGGCAGCAATCTGCTGATCCTGCGCATCTCGCACTGCCCCAACGTGCTGACCGACCGCTCGCTCTGGCTGGCCAGCTGCTACTGCCGCGCCCTGCAGGCCGTCACCTACCGGTAAGGACAGCCACCAGCGCCTGCCAGGCACGGGGACAGGCTGGGAGCACACCTGGATAGGCTGGGAACACACCCAGATGGGCTGGGAACACACCCGGACAGGCTGGGAACACACCCGGACAGGCTGGGAACACACCCGGACAGGCTGGGAACACACCTGAATGGGCTGGGAACACACACACACACACACAGGGGCTGGGAACACACACGGACAGGCTGGGAACACACCCGGATGGGCTGGGAACACACCCGGACGGGCTGGGAGCACACCTGGATAGGCTGGGAACACACCTGAATGGGCTGGGAACACACCCGGACGGGCTGGGAACACACCCAGACGGGCTGGGATCACACACACGGGCTGGGAACACACCTGGATAGGCTGGGAACACACAGACACATGGGCTGGGAACACACAGACACACACACACACACAGGGGCTGGGAACACACCTGGACAGGCTGGGAACACACCCAGACGGGCTGGGAACACACACACAGAGGGGCTGGGAACACACCCGGACAGGCTGGGAACACACACACACACACACGGGCTGGGAACACACCCAGACAGGCTGGGAACACACACATGGGCTGGGAACACACCCAGACGGGCTGGGAACACACACACACACACAGGGGCTGGGAACACACACCCAGACGGGCTGTGCTGCGCTCACCCTGTGCCCTGGCAGAGCACAGCCCACCTGTCCTGCTGCAGAGGACCTGCCTGGCCGTGGCCCCACCCCAGTGTCCCCAGTAAACCGTGGCCATGGCCAGACTGGTACCTCCAGGAGCAGCCTGGGGGGATGCAGAGCCAGCCCAGGGGTGACACCGCTGCAGGTGGGGCCATCACGCGTCCCCTGTGCTGTTCCAGGAGCTCCACGGACCCCGTGGGCCATGAAGTCATCTGGGCCCTTGGAGCAGGCTGCAGGGACATCATCTCCCTCCAGGTCGCACCTCTGCATCCCTGGTAAGGCACGGAAGCACAGGGTGGGAAGGGACCCCAGAGCCCCCCCAGTGCCACCCCTGCCGTGCAGGGACAGCTCCCTCTGCCCCAGGGTGCCCCAAACCCCAGTGCCCAGCCTGGCCTGGACACGGCTGGGATGGAACTGGGGTAGGAGGAGGCCACACAGCGTGAGGGGCTGGAAAGGAGCTGGGTGCCAGAACCTGATTTGCTTAGGGAGGGTTTCTGTGGGATGAGCAGCAATGCTGGAGCCCAGCCCGTGAGAGCAGGAGCTCAGCCCCATCCCTTCCTGTGCAAACTGGGAGCTGCTGGGTGTCTGCAGCTCCTGGGAATGCTGCAGGGAGGCTGCTCACACCCGAGATGAGAGGGATCTGTGATGGGTCTGGGAGCTGCTGCTGAACATCAAAGGCTGTCTGAGCTCTCAGGCTCAGCAGCAGCCCTGCAGGGTCTGGGTGTTGATGAAAGGATGTCACAGCTCGGGGGGGCACTGCAGCTGCTCTCATTCTGGGAAAGCTTTTGGGGGAGATGCTGCTGGAGCCCCATCTCCAGCCCACGGTGTCTGGGTGCTCAGGAGCTGAAGGCTCTCACAGGACACTCGGCCTGGAGAGCCCCTGGGCGCTGTGACAGGAGCCAGGGGCTGTCACCCTGCAGGACAGGCGGCTGTCAGGGCCTGGTGGCTCCTGTGTGCCCTGGGGCAGCAGCACCTGGCACCTGCCCTCTCCACCTGAGAGAGGCACAGGCCCTGCTGCTGCTGCTTTCATCCCTCCAAGGTCAGAGTGCAGGGCCTGCTTTGGGTTCCGAGGTTGGAATCACAGAATCCTGGAATGGGTTGGGAGAGACCTTAAACACCCCCAGTGCCACCCCAGCCATGGCAGGGACAGCTCCCAGTGTCCCAGGAGCTCCAGCCCCAGTGTCCAGCCTGGCCTTGGGACACTGCAGGGATCCAGGGGCTGCTCTGGGCGAGGTTTGGGGCTCTGGGCACACGGAGCTGCCCTGGCCCAGCGGCCGCACAGCCCCAGGCTGGTGGGAGGGAGAGCTCCCGGTGCCACAGGCTGCCAGGAGTGCCTGGGGGGCTGAGTGGCCGTGCCAGCCCCAGCTCTTGTCCCTCGTGTCCCCAGCCAGCAGCCGACGCGCTTCAGCAACCGCTGCCTGCAGATGATCGGGCGCTGCTGGCCCCACCTGCGGGCGCTCGGCGTCGGAGGGGCCGGCTGTGGCGTGCAGGGCCTGGCGTCCCTAGGTAGGCATTGCTCGGGGTCCTGGCCTTGGGAACGGGCCTTGGGCTTGGAGAGACCCCTGGGACTGCTGAACCCACCCTGTGCCCAGCACTTGGGGTCACAGAGTGGGCCATGGGCTTGGAAAGACCCCTGGGACTGCTGAACCCACCCTGTGGCCAGCCCAGAGCACTGGGTGCCACCT